TGTTTACCTGTGGATAAGCTAATGAATTAAAACTGATTGAAGTTACTTTTTCCTAAAAAGTAAAAGTTACTCAGTAAGGGTTATGTTAAATGACTTCACCCTGAATTTTATTTCTGAGCAGCTTCCACCCTTCATTTCCCAACTTTCCTCAGTGTTCTACCAAATATTGTTTTATTGCTTTCGATGAGCCTACTTTCTCATCCTTCATCCAATAAGAAGAGTCTAGAAGATGTGCATCTCGCGAGTGGATGATTTATGTTTAATGTTACGCAAACTCAAAGACTTACAGACGAAAACCAACATACTCGCTGAAGAGGCTGGCAGATAAGACAGGACTCCAGGTGAACATACAGAAGACGGAGGTGATGAAGATAACCAGCGAGCCGCAACACCAACAATCTTTCATTATCGGTGAAAAAATCAATCTAGCGTTTTCTGTTGTTCCGCGTTAGTTAACGTACATACTATTCAGCGTGTTAGGCATAGTCTTATGTGAAACCAGCGATAGGTTCAGAATGTGTGCATTCTGGACAATTGACGCCTGTATTGTGAATGGTAAAAGTTTTTGCTTTCTTAGTTGATGCATTTAAATCTGATTTTTGTGTCTTCTTCGGTGTGGGGAAGATTTTCAAGTGATCAGTGGGTTACGTTATCGTGTATGAAGGCAAACTAAAGTCAGGATAAACGACAACACTACAAAAACACTAGACACTCCATCGTAACACTAACAACTGGAAAAATCAATAAACTGAACGCTCCAGTGTATATACTGTTGTGGTGAGAGCAGGCCGTGAGAAAATATGAGCAAGGCTGAATCAACAACCAATCACAGCGAAGTTAACGTGGTAAAATATGATTCGCAGATAGAGAACTCTATTTGTCGAGGAATCCCAAAACAACCAATCAGAAGCCTGCGTTTGTCTGCCTAACCTCTGATAAACAACCAATCAGATGACTGCGCTTGTCTATAATAATGTATATGAAATATGTATAAATACGTGTTGATTTTCATAATAAAACGATCTGTTGCCTGGCCCTTGTCTTCTGTTGTTACACTGTAACAATAGCTGCCTTTCAGTCACACTTCTCAGTGTTAAGATAGAAGTGAAACGAATCCTTCAAAGACTGAAGGATTGAAGCTGAAAATTTGATTTTTTTTCTTCTTAATAATAATAATAAATAAATAATTTTCCTTCACGTTCCCAGTGGAACATATAGGGCTTCAAGCTAGTGGCTTGAAGTTTCTGTGACAGTGTTTAGTTTTTAGAGGATGGGGTGACTAGCCCTATGCCCAACCTTTTATCTTTACCAGCATTATTTCTGGCTTAGCGAGGTTAAGGAGTGCCTTGTCGGCCGGGGATCGTACCCTGGACCATGTGTATGGGCGGCAAGCGTCCTAACCTCTGTGTCACTGACGCAATAATAACAATACCTATGAATAATCGCTAACTCCCGTCAGTAGCTGACTTTGTTAGCTCGATCCTAAAGACTGGATGGCCGACTAGAAAGAATAAGTAACTGGAAACTTTAACAACGAACCAACCAAAAACTTATCGCCTAAAAAATACACAGTGGAAAATGAAGATTGATTGGATGTACACTGATGACACCATTGAGTGGTGTTATGTGGGGTTTCTCGAGTGGAATTAAAACGGGGAAAAACACGCCTGGTGTCCAAGGGTGATAGTGAACAGATCATGAGAGAAGGAGATAACAATTTATGGATAATCATAGGGCCGACTAAAGAAATATTTCGACAAAACAATGGAAACACGTAGTTTATCTGAAAAGTGTAATTTATTTTCCCAACAAATTGTGGACATTTTGATTTCACACGTACTTGTCACACGCATGTAATTAAAGGCAAGAGAGAGTGAATTTTCGCAATACAGGGGTAAGAAGATGACTTGAGGGGGTGCGATAAGAAAAACAGGGAGAGGATGAAAATATCACTAAGTCAATTGAACTTTGGTTCTAAATTGGATCATCAACACACGTTCAAAGTAGTAACAAATAATTCTTGGACACAAGACAGGCTTAAGCTTTTTTTTATGTCCGAAGCTTCAACTAATCTAAGTATTTGACCCAACCATGTTTTATACATGAGTTTAAAGGTATTATTGAAATCAGCCTTGTGACCCGTCCCTATGTTGTGCTTCACAACAGATGACTTTGCACATCTATTTCCGGGATCAATTGTGTCCAGTATTTTTATTTGTAGTTGTAGCCACTTAGAAATATGGTCTGTGGCCTTAATCTTCCGCAGTTGATAGATTCTCCCTGTGTCCATACGTCCACACATTTATATATATATAAATTGGTAAACACAATGGTATGTGACACTGCCTTTCGGATGGCGTTACGGCTTATAGGACAGCACAGATCCCGTTTTCTCTATGAAAATAAGTTTGGCTGCACACTAAGTTCTATTAACTGCCTCCGACAATTCTGTAATACTCAACGAATTTCAACGGATAGTTGTTATCTAACAATATTTCAGTAAGGTATCGTGTTTCTTCTTCAATAGTATTGCCTGGACATATACAGTGAATGCGTCTGAACAAACCTTTCTATAGTGTACTGAAGAGAAACTATGACAACTTAGACACTGTCCTGTCCATGTGAACTTTCTATAGACGGATCGTCCCATTGGCCGATCTTATTTGCGGGTTACGATTACATAAAAAAAATGGCAAGCAATCATTATTCTCTTTCGCGTATATTAGCGATATACCGTTTTGTACTGTATTAATCTGACTAGGGATTTATACGGCATCTGTCGGTTTTTCACAAATGACTATTGCGTCATCCACGTAATTCATATAAAAATGAACTTTTCCAATTATGTCCTCAGCAAAGTTTTCGTTACATGTGATATGCATATATCAGCTAACAGCAGCCCACTGTTTCGTCCTATTTCAGGACTCATTAGTTAATGTATACCTGCCCCACAGTAAGTTTAAATGACTATCTGAAATTATTTTCAAATTTTAAGCAGTCCAGTTTTGTTTTATGACAAGGGTGCTAGATTCAATGAGAATAGTAAATAACATTTCCTCATTTCGTTAAACCCTCTTTGTAGGCAGCAGGCATGTAAAACTATTACCTCACCTTACTTAGGGTTTACATGCAACAATTAGTTCTTAAGAGCATAGTCATTTATATGCTGCGAAAGTAAATTTCTTCAAGATAACCAATAATTAAACACTCTCAAGCCCCTTGAATTTCTCTGAAGCGGTCACTAATAAACATGTGAAACCTGATTTGTGTACTAAAAATGATGCCATAGGAAGTCTGTCACTCCTCCATGTTACCTTGGTGCTTGCTCTTTATATGATTACCTAATCTTTTATAAAATGTGAGTATTGATTTATTGTCACTCTTACTTAGTGACATAATCACCCTTTTAATTCCTATGCATCGGATATCTCAGGGAAATATTAAAAAGACGGTTGCAGCTAAGGAAATTTTGTTTTATATAAAGTCATTAGTTGGGATGTGCATTCCTGCAGTTATAGTAAACTGGGTGAAAACCTCCATGGACTCTTTCTGGTCAAGGGTTAAATGAATAAAATTGCAAAGTATAATAAACAGAAAGACTGAATAAAAACCACAGTAGGATCATAATTATTGGGAAAGTTGACTTTTTGTACAGTTGGGGATTAAAATCTTAGTGATGGCAAAATAGGTAGTAAGTTCGGATAAAATGACATAGTAGGACAAATAGGAATTGAAAAAAAACGTAAAAATTAGGTAAATCAACAGGAAGGTGAGATAAAAGAGGTAATAGGACAATCACTATTGAAAGGACTGATGGCCGCGATAAAGATAATGGTTTAAGATATTTCTCTTGAATACATAACAAGGGCTTGAACTTTTGGATCGCCAGTGCCTCAGCTATGCCCACATGTCTTGATTTCACTCCCTATAAATACACAAATTTACAGCCCAGTTGATGACTACCACAAAAAAGGAAATCTTCTTCATTGCAACCGTCTTTCTAATATCTCCTATTAGCTGGCATCTAACTTAATTAGCTCTCAATATCTCAAGCTACTTCTGTCCTTGCTTTTCAAGGAACTTCAATTACATTCCACTGATAACTGCAGTAATTCGTTTCACTTCACTAATCTAACATTTCGTACGACTTATTTATCATTATCATTCCGAATTATTGTTCGGCAGTTTCCTCTGTAATCAATTTAAATATTGTTTAAATTGTAATAAGCAGATGTCAAGAGATGTTATCGAAGTAACTCGTTAGTTCAAGTTCGAACCTGACAGATGTGACAAAGTCAGAATGTGATGTCAGTTGATGCCGCTCAGGCAACAGAGAAATGCACACTAAGTCATTTACAGGATCTTTTAAAGAAATGCCTGATTGGAGATTCAACTATGGAACCTGTTCTACTCACTTTGAATATTTTTTTGAGTTCAACTTGTTTTATAATTACTTTGTTCAAATTCATACCTTTATCAACAACTACTGACATTTGAATAAAGTAGTTCAAGTCTCAGTTCAAAATAATTCATAAGGAATCGATACCATAAAGTTTAAACGAGACATAACCTACCAATGTTATTTTTTGTTAACATTTACCAATAATGAATAGAGATAGGCCTTTCCTATAGTTACTGAAACGTAAAGACTAGTTAGTAGAGATTTCCACCTTTCCGTGAGAATACATAACCAATCAATAACAGAATATATAGACACTGTCGAAATGAAACTTTGCCAAATTTCGAGATATTCATTCTGAACGCCTGATCAGACTGCCAGAATTCAGTTCACTGGCTGTGCTAGCAGTTCAATAGTAGTATACTCACCAACCACCCATATGGCCCATGGTTCGATTCCCCTACTGACTCACTCCTAAAAGCCATACAGTATGTTTGGTAGAGTAGATGAGTAGGTGGCTGGCAACCCGACCATATGAGACTTCAAACACTCAACCTCTATTTCCCACTGAGAATGTGAAGGGATGAAAAAAGTGACTGAATAATATAAGAAAATTTATTTGTCTATGAATTCAGTAATATATAAAGCGTTCACGACATAAATAAAGATACTTTCAAATAAATATGTACAGATTTATGAAGTCAATATATATATATATATATATATATATATATATATATATATATATAAGTGATTATGTTATTAAGTACACGAGAAAATGCACAAAAAGATTACTCACGTAATAAGTAGTATGTATATATGTATACGTATATTATTTCAGTTAAAAATTACCCAGATAAATTAAATCCTAGTAGTATAGTTTTATACGTCAAACAGACCTTAGTAGATCTGATATAAAAGGCACCATTTTGAGCTGTTGTACTGTAAATAACTGATTATAATTATTAGCATGCACAAAAAAAACAATTATCCATTTTCGCGTCAACTTATGTACAAATCAAATTATAGTAAGCGATTCAATGTTCAACATTCAATATTCCAATTGAATCCATAGTGTTCAGAAATGAGTAAAATGTTCAGATATTCGTGCTACTAACTTTTACCAATAACAATTAGTAAATAGTTAGTGATTGTAACGCATAGAAGAAGAAAAGAGAAAGAAAAGTTGACAATGTCTTATATATTATTTTGAACCAAAAACAATAAAATATAATTACAATTTAGCATTTATCGCTGCCTGAAATGCTATGATTGATCGATTCATTTATTCATTCATTGATTAACTTGTTCAATGGATAAATACAAAATCCGCGAAGTTTTGTTTTAATGTATTAAGTGTTTTTTAAAGATATTCAGAGAAGTTTTGGTGGCTGAATTGAATTTTTCTTTATTAAAACAATCCTGTTTAGAAAGGATGATGGCTTGTTACAACTAGTACAGATATAAAGACAACAGAATAATATTGATAATAAAATGAAAATGCAGAATAATGAAATTACAAATATGAATATATTTTTGAGGATTGTCTCATTCAGTTAAGTGAGAGTATAAGGGTTCAACTTGAAAGATAACTAAACAAGTATTGATTATGTTTTTGTCGACATGTTCTTAGGACTTTTTAAAATAATAAACCGGGATTAAAAATATTCAACTAGATAGTGGACTAATCGTTTATAATGGAAGGCCATTTTTTAGAGACAATCGACCTTTTAATGGTGTGTGTATTTATAATTAATTGTGTATTTGTCATTAATTGTTTAGTTAGATATGTGTCATTGGTACTGAGGACATGATAAACATACTATTCCCCTCGATTTTACGACCAGCGTGCTGTTGTTGTTGCTGTTGAATCGGTAAGTTTGTTGTACTGCCTGCACTGATAGCAGTACCTTCCAATGGACCACTAGTAAATGACCCAGAGTTACCATGTAAGCCTGAAAGTGAAATTCCCGGTGTGCCAATCACTGATCCACCTGGTATAATAGGCATTGTATGAGTCATATGATTCACTACAGAATGATTGCAGGCTAAACTGGCTGCTACTTGAGGTGGTTGAGGAAGTAGACGGTTATTATTATTATTACTGGACATGTAATCATCTTGCCATGTTGTACAGCTATTCACACCTCCAACAGTTGGCCCACCAGAAAGCTTAGGATTACTGTTACTGCCCAGCCAAACTTTTGACTGACCAGTATTCCATCCAATTGTACCTGGATTCGGTGGTGGAGAACGGTTGGGTAGCAGTGCTCCAGTATGACTTAGTATCGCCACTGATCCAGTTTGATTTCTTTTAGTACTTGTTGAATAAGATCGATTAAAAGCGCGTCTTAGACATGATTGCCATGAATCAACTGTTTTACTCGACCATATCCAAAATCCAGAGGTGATTCCAACAACTAAAGACATGAAATACTTTAGCATGAATACTGCATACTCAGGTTGACCAACTGCATGGGCTGGAGGATTTAAATGCAGCGTAAAACCATCCTTCCTATCCATCAGTTTATCTCCATTTGGAGATGAATGGTAGTAATTGTTGGCTAATAGAGTTTTCAACTTCTCCAGAACACTTTCTTGTGATATATCTTTGATATACGGTAATGGAGCACAGGGGCAATTGTGAGCTCTATTCCATGCATCACGATTATATAATTCATAGCAATGGCAAGCAATGACAACTGTCGCTGGAACTGTATACAATACACCAAATATTCCGATACGTATCATTAATTTTTCTAACTTATCCGTTTTTAAATGACCTCTTGCTTGTAGTTTAATTTCACTGCGAATTTTAAATAAGGCTACAAAACCAGCCAATAGGAATACAGTTCCAAGGCCTAAATAAATACACATTGGCGCCAATACAAATATACGCAGGTAGGCTAAATTTGTTGAACCAACAGTGCATAAGCCACCAACAGGATCTCCGTCAACTGCCGATAAGATTAGAACAAAAATGGCTTGTGCACCAGGAAAAAACCAGGCGAAAAAGTGATAAATCTGTAAGAGAAAAAAGTTGAAACATAAGAGGATATTTAGAAGATATCATCTTGGTAGAATTAAAAAATTTTATGGAAAGATATTTCATTGAAGACTTCCTTACAAGCCGGTGTCAGTTAGAGAATCATCAAGAACTAAATAGCTATGGATACCTATTTCTTAATGGTTCGTGACTACTCTTCAGTACTATATAAGCATGACCCTACCAGAGGTTGAACGCAGAAACTTATGGTTACGAGGCTAACTTGTTAACTATTCAATGACCTGTGAATTCCAACTTATGTTAGTCTGCGATATATATCTCTACAATCAAGCAATGTCATCGACGAGGATCTACTTCACTTTGAAATGATGGAACCTACCAAGAACAGCTTCTCATTAAAACTTCAGGACATTCGTTCAGTAGCCTTTAATCATCTGGAGATTGATTTTTGGAGTTCGATCTCTTGTGATATCATGTATGAGTAATGCTGAAGAGTCACGAACCGGGATGAAACATTTATCCAGTACCCCTAAGTTTTCAATTACTCCCTAACTGATGTTGTTTCCTGGTCAAGACTACATCGAAATGAAAAGGTTTTCTCTTCCGAAGTCTTCTATTCACTTCTTTGGTCAATTATACACGTGACAGTCTAGTATCTTATTGATATGTAGGTTGTGAAGATATTGCTAATTGGATCGACCACTTTACTTTCAGTAAATGGGTCCCTAGTTCAAGTGCCATCGTTTCCAATTTAGTCTGTATAGTGGCTGATAACATCAGACTCCACATTTTCACGGTTTCGGACAAGTGAGCTCTAAATACTGAAGGGTATTCACGCTAATTACCCCATTAAAATGGAATGTTAACTTACAAGTTGGCTTTGATAAAGGTCACTTTGCACTAATTAATTAAATGCATCAACAAGTTAAATAAACAATTTTGTCGAAATTTCATCACAACAGGATGACAGAGTCATGTACCCCTGCAAGCACAAAAGTTATTATAATTGGGTCTTCACACTGGTTAACTATTAATGAAGGCCACCAGAATTCAGCCCTGTATAGTACTGCAATAAGCAATTCAGAAAAACTTGATCAATAGATTTAATCAAGCACCAAGATGTCTATTTAGAGGAAACTCAGATAATGTCACCATTGCCTGTTGGGAGTACAGATCACAAAATACCAAACGCTATTCTTTTTACTCCGTAGCTAGAGAACTGTATAACCTCAGATCATTTATTATCTAAGACTGAGTGTATTAAGCTACAGTCTAAAAAAGATCACATTTGTAATTGTTAGATTTCATCATGAAGTAATATCGGTTAGAGAGGTCATCGAATACCATTGAGTGTAAGACAGGTGTTTCGTTCTGTTTTAGGACTCGTCAGCATTGTGCACCCGCATCTTCACCAGGGGCTGAATCTGGAAAAATCAGGTCATGAGGTCAAGCTGAAGTCAGAAACCATGACAGGAAGAGTACACCATAGCAAACTGCAGGAACTGGAAACTCATCGAATGCGGTGATGAGTCTAGCGCTATATAACAAGCTGACGTAGTTAGAAATCACACATCACTAAATTCCGTCCGATACAAGTGGCTAAATAGTTAGCGGGGTTGATCTCATAGCTCCAGTGTCCCAGGTTCGATTCATGATGATGAGGTTATTTTTCCGCACTACTCAATAAAGATTCTCGAAATATATAGAGACAGTTGTCCACTGCTTCCTGGATTCCGCTAATTTCATTAACTGATGTTGGTTGGTGACGAAATCTAACAAGGGAAATTAAATTAATCTAAATATCCATGCATTCCATAATCTGAATAGTGTACATTTACGTTATTTAACACACTGTTTAACATATCGCTACACCGCGTAAAATTAGCTACTTATTCACTGAGATCCTACTCTTTTGCTAAAACGTTACTTATTAACTCTCTACAAACTATATGGAAGGTTTTATTCACCAATTATATATTCCTGTGATAAGAGCTTAGGATTTAAGCCGGAAAATAATTCTGCCCATCCGTTGGCTAACAGGTTACGGCAATAACTAGTTAAGAGGCCTTTTTAAGTACGATATGGCCATCATATTAAGTGATGACACAATGCAGTATGATTTATCTGACTGCAAAACAAGCCTGGTTAAAAGTATCTTAGTCTAGCTGCTCAGGCTAGACATAGCAATACAATCAACAATAATCAGGTCCATAGCAAAATCTTCCGTAGATGGTGGGACTCAATCTAGAAGATAATGGAATCCTATCGATACAAGTGACTAGGACACGTGTTACATACGCTGAGACCCTGTACTCATTGATTCATAGTGTTAAGTGAGATCTCAATCAATTAGCAACGAGTGGTCTACCTAAAACATGACACCAAATCCATGAAGCTTTTGACAGTTGGTATCAGAAATAGAGGAAAGTATGAATGTCTACACTCAACATGTTCCCCTAGGAGAAGTGGGACATTCACCATTCTCAACACTTAGTAAACTCGATTTGACTATCATTAAGAAATATATGTTGACCTCTAACTGATGAATGACGTAAATTCTTAGGAAACTATTCTCAAAACTGTCTCAGGTTTAGAATTGGAGTTAGAAATCACTAATAGGTATTCGCTAATGGATTTGGTATAAAACTCATTTCTTTGTTAAAAAGATTCTGTATAAGATGGGAAATATATTTTGAATACTATGCCATGTATATCACTTACTTGAGAGTACTTAGCAATAGCTTCTGTGCCCCATTTTAATCCAGCAGCAAGAAACCATGTCAGAGTAAGTATCACCCACCAGACAGAAGATGCCATACCAAAAACATAAGTCAACAGAAAGACAATACTACATTGAGCCGGTCCAGTTGTACCAATTCTAAGAACTGGTCCATCACAAGCAATTTTTTCATGACCCATACCAACACGTATTAAATAACCAAGTGCAATCATAAAATAACAAGCTGACAGATAAATAATTGGACGTTCTGGATATTGGAAACGGCCAGGATCAGCAAGAAATGTAGCTACAGTAGCCAGGGTTGACAGAATGCATAAAACAGCCCACAGACCAAGCCAAAATGTTGCAAATGTTTTATCTGATTGATTAGCAAATGTTGGACTATGACAGGATGGTAGACATCCAGATATCCCACCAGTGACGACTTCATTGAACGGTGGTTTCATCCATGCGACAAATGGATCACGACATCTACACGGTAGACAAATCACTGGACCGAAATGTTTATATTGCTGTTTCGAATGTTTTGAATTATTATTTTCAGCAATTTCATCATTTTTATTCGAAGATTTTTTACTTCCTTGCTTTGAATGACTATCAGTTAGGCTGCTTGTCAAGTGTTCTTGTAATTGATTGATAATTTCTGTTGGTGAAACATTTGGAAAACTATAATTCTTATGAAAATCTTTATAATTAATTTGTGTTTTAAAATGTGGCTTATTTGTATTACTATTTAATCGATTATGGGAATTAAATTCTTGCATTAATGATAATATATCATGACTGGATGACTTCCCACTAGTTCCACTACCTCTAACACGACTGTCATCTTTATTGTTATCACTTTCTTCACCAGATAATGATGATGATGAAGAGGAGGATGACGATCCAGAGATTGTTGTAGTCTTCTTACTATTCGGTGTATTACTTCGACTTACACATTCATTCTACAAAAGGAAAAAATAAATATAAAAGGTGGGAAGATAAATCACACTGAATATGTGTCGGTTTAAGCAATACGATGAAGGTACATGACTGAATAAACGAAAAAAGAAGTCTAGCGGCGGACAGCTTTGGAGAGAGAAAAATAGAGATGCATTGCGCATACGCACTGATGAGATACTTAGTCAGGCCATGGAGTAGAATCCGAATGGAAAGTGATACGTTAGGCCTGCACGCGACACGGAAATGAAAGCTTGTCAGTAGCTGTGAAGCCAGTTAAAGACGATTGCAGAGAACGAAGTATAAAAAAGGGGTAACACTGAGACTCTATGTTCCACTCAGAACCAAAGGCAAAAACAATAATAGCGTATTTCACTAAAATAGATATCAAAATTGCGAAATGCTGGACAGTTGGGTGCTCCTGGAGTGGCGGATGCTGTCGATAGGAATTTCTAAGCCAAACATTATTCGTGTGTGATGTCTTCTCCGAGAACATCGAATAAGTAAGCGACGGATTAGGTGTCACAAAGTGGACAAATGAATGATCCTTGTAAAACAATCCATACACAATGTTTGAAATAAAGACAAAAGAGACGCAATACGAAGAGGTTAGGTAAATTGAGGTTCAATGGAAGACTCTTATATTTCGTCATCGCTGTACATGATTTCGCCAAATAAACAATTCTACTATAAATTACCACTATGTTCTCCCTCTATATTTGGTGTCCCTGCCAGGATCAACCTGAGAAATGTACTCATACTCTGCTTCTTTTGTAGTGATTGCATGCTGTGTGCTGGTCAACAATGGTCTTCATGTCTTCTCGGTTTGCAACCCTGATCAGTCGTTTTACCATCCAAGATTCCTGCAGAAGATATCATACAGGATATAATGCTTACAAGTCTTTGTCAGTAACACAGCTAAGACTGAAAGGCGAACGTCTAATTTAGGCTTAGTTTCTCCAGTACCAATTAAGTATCCATCCAATGAATTCGAATTCGTCTATATTCCATGTTTTCAACTCTCAAAGATGACCAGTGAAATTGACATATCGGCGCATGAGATGTGTGTGTGTGTGTGTAGGTTGGTATTCGTTGCTTCCATCCACTCAAGACTGTTATGTCTAGACTACAAAGGCACTCAACAACTAGTCTTCCGTCTCATTTCGAATCGTGACACTTCGAAATCTACTGACTACCCAGTCATTAACAAATTTTCCAGTTAGCTAAATAATCTTGTTTTTCCTTTCAAATTCTATTCTATTCTTAGAAGGCAAGTGTTATCAATATTTTCAAAGGAAAATGGAAAGATTAACTAAGTAAATAAGTCTATTGAAGATTAGTGATAAAATATTTTTGTTCATTTTTCCCCCAGTTGTCTTTTCCCTATCACTCTCCTTCGCCCTCTCCCTCTCTCTCTCTGTCTTTGTGAAACACAATTTCTGTTCTTTCTTGTTCACTTAAGGAGAAGAAACAATAAAACTCAACTGGAAATGATACAGAGAAAAAACCTAATCTTACCACTGAAATATTACTACTACTACTACTACTACTACTACTACTACTACTAATAATAATAATAATAATAACAAACTCAGTAAACTATTGATTTGTTCAAATTGTACATGCAATATTCAACATGGTTTATTGCTTTTCGAAGCAAACGGACTCATTCTGAGATTGAGTTTCATTTATTGGATTTCATCACCAACCAACATCAGTTAAAGACATTATTCAAAACTAAGGAGCACTGAACAATTGTTTCGTCCGTTTTGGCGACTCTTCACTGAGAAGTGCGCACCAGGGATTGAACTTAGGACCTTTAGATTATGAGGCCAATCTCGCTGACTATTCAACCGCTTAGGCTGGAAATCGATCATTTATGGTTTTTAATTTTGTCAACTTGTGATAAACATCTGTCCTCACCAATGCATTTAATGAGAATCCACTTCACTCATGTTGATGACATGACGCGCCCTAATGGTCACAACTTCTGGGCACACAGTTTCAAGATATATATCCTGTAGTCGTCAGTAAGCTGGGGGACAGTGTATACAGATCAGGGAATTTGTGGGGATTAGGAGTAGATTTAGCCTCAAGTTCAGCTGTTCCTAGTTGTCAATGTCCTCTCTAAATTGATACTGGTTCCTAAAGAAATATAATAATTGAAACTAGATTAATCGAAATCCCCAAAAATCCTATAAACTGTATATGTAATTTTAGATTGTTTTACGATTAATCTGCATAATTCTTTCCCTCAGAAAATTGAATATACTGACTGATTTAAAGTGAATTTCATTGTTTTGGTTGATGGTGACTATCTATGAAATGTAGGAGGCACAATTCGTCATATTTGGGACTCGCCAGGTGAATGTAAGCGCAAATTCAACGAAATGCACCTCCTGGATTCTACTACCAGTCACTAGCAAAAAAAAAAGAACTTCACTTGAATCCTCAAATGTCTTCGACACGTTCGTAATCAGAACGAATATGGCAACACAGACGGAGAATTCCAGACCAGCATAGCCAATCAATGTATAAGGCATAGAATTAACCCTAAATTAGATTTCCTTTTTATTATTATTTTATTATTATACCCTTGAGTTCCGAGTGAAATATAGGGCTTCAGTAATACCTGTGTTCTCTGCAGTACTTATAAGATGTGTATATGATTGCGCATGGGCTCCTCTCTATTCCTAATACGATCTTTCCCACGTCACTCTCGGACTCACAACCAACTCGTGTGTATGCATAAAAATTCTTCATGAACCAAGATGATGCACAAAAGCTCTGTTTTTGAACTAGTTCTGCGTTCCTCAACAGTACAAACTCATAATACCAACAGAAACTGCATTCGTTACATTTCAACTTTCAAGAGGATCATGTTTCCGAAATCCAATGGCTCATGAATACTAACTTATTTCAAGCGGTAAGCATCTGTTTGCACATCTAACTTGTTAAAAACCTTACGTCATCATATCTTATTCGATCTCCAGGACATCCCTTCCGTATTCAGTGACTAATGATAATAATGATAGGTTGTTTTTTAGATTTTGTGTATTAATGAAAATTCCCAGAGTACGATGGAAAAAACTGCCCGGTACTTTCTCTCTCTTTCTCCCCTTAGTTTTCAATAATTCAGTCAGCGTTTGTTATCAAAACGTATCATCTAACACGTAGGATCATGGTTTGATCTAGAACGAAAAGATCTCCTAACAGTTCTATCCTAGAACACCTGGTTGAATTGAGACATCAAGCTAACACACAAAGAGACTTTACAGTCATCTACAGAATACTCAGGAATCTTTCTAAAACAGTGGGAATCAATATAAGTATAAAACTTAGGCACTGTGGTAGAGTATAACTCCATTATAGATAAGATTTTATTTTGATAAATCACACAGTGTTGTACAGTTATATGAACTAATGACGTTTCGAGCACAAACTATTGCCACTCATAATCATATCAATCATATCAGTGGGAATCAAACTTCTGCAAACCACAGAAGCAGTGTCAATTCACATGTTGAATTCCGAATTTTGCATACAGAATGTTTTTCAGCCACTAAATCTATAATGGACTTGATCTGCCTTAAAACTTGGTGCGTGATTTTTTATTTTTTTGATTGCATCATTATTAAATTTCCGTCTCTTATTACCACTGTTGTTAACTTGACTCTCGTTCAATTTTAGCTGAGTTCTACTCAATCCCATCAATTATATTACATCATTTAGTTTACTTATTTAGCCTTATTTCAATTTCTATCCAATTAACGGTTTCTATTTCACGTAGTTTGTTATCTAGAATTTACAATTCTAATGAAATATCTTTGGAAATATTCCTCTTGTTGCCAAGGTGATTCAATATCTATCTATATATAAGCGTTTGTACAACTGGAGAATGATATCGCTGAAGAGATTAACTCTTAGCTGAACGCCTATTCTTTTTCAATACTTATCTAACTGATATTGCTTAGTAATGAAGTGTAAATTAAGATTTTGAAATTAATTATACTCCACACATATTCTAATTAATTATGCCATAGAAAATTCATATGAAATTAAAAACCATTCAACCAAGTGACTAGAAATTTAATTAAGTAGAATTTAGGAGAATATTAACAATGTTAGGTAAAAACTTAAGAAGGGCTTACTCCTCTTCCTTCTTCGTAAGTCCTTCTCAGCCTTGTATATATTCAGAAATAGTTTAATTTAATGACTAAGAATACCAGTTAATTTGTTTCGTTGAACTTCAATTTTTAGGTAAATAGTGAATACTAATGAATAATAATAAGTGATATCTGCGTAATGTATGCTGACTAACAGTAGCTGTGGTTTATCCCATTAAGTAACACACAGATAGATAGATAGATAGATAGATAGATAGATAGATAGATAGATAGATAGATAGATAGATAGATAGATAGATAGATAGATAGATAGATAGATAGATAGATAGATAGATAGATAGATAGATAGATAGATAGATAGATAGATAGATAGATAGATAGATAGATAGATAGATAGATAGATAGATAGATAGATAGATAGATAGATAGATAGATAGATAGATAGATAGATAGATAGATAGATAGATAGATAGATAGATAGATAGATAGATAGATAGATAGATAGATAGATAGATAGATAGATAGATAGATAGATAGATAGATAGATAGATAGATAGATAGATAGATAGATAGATAGATAGATAGATAGATAGATAGATAGATAGATAGATAGATAGATAGATAGATAGATAGATAGATAGATAGATAGATAGATAGATAGATAGATAGATAGATAGATAGATAGATAGATAGATAGATAGATAGATAGATAGATAGATAGATAGATAGATAGATAGATAGATAGATAGATAGATAGATAGATAGATAGATAGATAGATAGATAGATAGATAGATAGATAGATAGATAGATAGATAGATAGATAGATAGATAGATAGATAGATAGATAGATAGATAGATAGATAGATAGATAGATAGATAGATAGACAGATAGATAGATAGATAGATAGATAGATAGATAGATAGATAGATAGATAGATAGATAGATAGATAGATAGATAGATAGATAGATAGATAGATAGATAGATAGATGTTATTGTGATGGCTGAATGAATCCTGTTTTTTGAATGTATATTTATCTAGTTGTTTGTATGCACAGAGATGAAGCTTTCCTTAGGTGTATTCAGCTGGTTTACCAACTGTTAAACAATGGGCTTTTGTCTAGAAAAACAATTCTTGAGTTATATTCAAATATAGTTTACACTTAACATCTGCTGAATTAGAAACATGAAGGATAAACCTACACGCTAAGTAGAATGTACACATATATCATTTGGATTCTTATACTGTCCATCTAGGTAACATAATTGACGCTAATTTTAAACCATCCAGCCGAGCCAATACAACAACACAGAAAATATCATCTACCTGAGTTACCAGTATATATGCATAAAGCGTCAGCCTTAAGTACTGTTTTCGGATCGACGTGAGTTGCTGGTGTTAATTAAAACTTACATTAAATATTAAGTTGTGGCAACAGTCTAACTAACCACCGACCTTTAGATTAAAATTTCAATACTCTTCTGTCTGAGTTGCAACTATAATCTTCAACTAAGTGTGTAATTGATGACGGATGAACACTTATCTGTTGCTAATTCATATGATGCTTGGATGAAAATCTCTGTTCTCTTTTAACTGAAGACAAGCTGGTCGATGAGGTGAGGTCTAAATAAATAAGACGCTGCAGGCTTTTACACTGATGACAAGAAAAGTTTCCTAACATCATCCATTTGTTTTCCATCATCCATGAACACTTATTCATACCTATGGCTGCCTCGTTATGTGAGAACACATTCGGTAATATAAGTACTAGTGACAGTAATATTATTACTAGTAGTAGTAGTAGTAGTAGTAGTATCTCACTTGTTTGTTTCTTATTAGATTCACGTAATTGTTATAAGAATAGAACTTGGGTATTGAACTGAAGCAAGATTCACAAGTCATCGTATCTTTAGCATTCGTTGTTTAAAAAATCATACAATTCCTGAATACCTACTCTTACTCTTATTTACTCCAGGTACAACAAGCAGAATAACATTAGCAGTTAGACGAATTGACAGGTTATATGCAAGAGAACAACTCCATCGAAGTGTTAAGAAACTAAACAATGCACGAAATAAAGTTGACAAACTCAAATGTATTAAAGACGACAAAGATTGCGAAATCTTAGTTGAAACATCCGAAACAGCTCGAGAAGTGGCCTCAAAAACTGAAGAAACATGCAAATTAAGAAATTTAATAAAGTCCATTATGGATAAAATTTATTTTCATAAAGCCTTTCAGTGTTATACAGTAGTATATCTACTGATGACCACGTTTCGAGCACACTTTATTGCTTATAATCCTATCAAGGCACTCACACAACTTTCTGATATCGTTAATATAATTCCATTATTTTTCATCTCTTCCATATCTCTGATATTTGCGTGGAATCACTTCTATTGCATGTACTGGGCGTAGATTCAATGGACAAGGACTTAGTAATCAATCACTCTGTCTACCTACTTACACTACTTTTTAGGATTTTGACTCTGTCTCACCACCCCAATTGTGTGGTTGTGCGTTAATGGATGCAGAGCGATTGCTTGGGATTTTTTCTACATTACTTATCTTCGAGGGTGGAGTCAACCATTCTTACCTTGGCCAAATTCTTATGTTCTGATAATCTCACTTATGTAGTTGACTTAACTCATAGTCATTGCAAGGTATCTTGTCCTTTAGCCGGCAGAGGTTGCTTCTGAGTGAGTTTGTAGGTTTGAATGCCACTCTAATTCCTGCATCAGATGTCCCCTGCTTATATGGTAGAGCTATAGATACCTTTCGTATTTGTGTCATAAGTTTCACCATTATTTACATCTTGCATTTGACATTTTCGACCTTCCTAATGAGTCAACAATACCAGAGATATGGAAAATATTACTAACAATCAAATCAGGAGATGAAAAATAGTGGGATTGTATAAACGAAGTCGGAAAGTTGTTTGAGTGCCCTGATATGATTATGAGCAGCAATAAATTTTGCTCGAAACGTGGTTATCAGTAAATATACTACTGTATATAACGGCAAGAATTTCTTTTCAAGATACATTTTCTTCATAATGGAATTATACTCCACCACATTGCCCAAGTTCTATTCTTATGTCGACCTGAACAAAATGATGGAGGTAAAGAACAACACAGAAAAGTGAGAAAGTTGACAACGACGTGTCGCCGACTATCGAGAAAGCAAAAATTGGGTGATCAACCCATCAACAAGCGAAATATGCTCTCATGAGATAAAAATTCTTGTGAAAGGATTAAACTTCGACTTGACAGTTAATGAACTGAAGTCAGGTGATGTCATTTCTAGCATAAATTCCTAGTACTGATTTCAGTCGACAAGACAAGAGCCGAAAAGGTTCCAGCACCATATGCATTCGCGCTAAAAAAACAACCAGAGAAAACATAAGCAAACTTAACGAATTCAAAAAGACTAGCCCTAGTAAGCTTCAAAAGTGGTAAAAACATATTCACTGCAAAGACTGATAAAGGTGACTCAACAGTATTTATTGGATAAATTGGACTATATCATGAAAATCAGGGAACACATTACAACTGGTCCATAGGAGGTAATTAGGAAACCTGTGGATACAATAAGAAACGAGATTAAGAAATCTGCATCAGCTGCAATACACCAGACTAAGCCATCACCAGCCGAATATAAAACGTTTATTTTGATGCATAAATCTAAACAGACAGTAAATTAAGACCAACGGTGGATTTTAGAAATAACCCCACTTATAAGTCACCTAAACACCTTTCCCCATCAGATATCTCACAAGTGTTGTCACTTTCTCCCTCATCTCTTCTTCATTGTCATATAAACTATCTTCTTTTCTGAAAAACTTTACCAGGTATATTATTTATGTCTACTTTTGAGTGGCACCCAATCGATCAAGGTGAAGTAAGCAGAGGATTTAAATTCGGGACTCATTTGGTGAGAATAAAGCACTTAAAGCGATTAGCCATACATTAACTTCATGTCCCTCTCATCTACACCGGAAATTAAATTATCCCTAACTGAAATTTCAAAGGTAAAACTTCTATCTGTTAAAATAACAAGGAGTTTACTAATCAATTTTAATAGGAATATTTAATTGAGTCATGTACATTTCTTGGCTAAATGATATCATGCTGTGCCGTGGAAGTAAATGAAAAAAAAAGTAAGAGGTAAAAACCAGTCTCCCTTATGTCTGCCTACCCACCTAAACCTATAGAAAAGACGAATAGTGTTTAAACCGTTTGTGATGTTCTTCTTTACAGAGATATTTTAAAGATTTCTCATTATTTAAACTAGCCAGATTCATTTACACTATAAAAAAATAACACAGAATGTTTAAGTGTTGGTTTGGAGGGAATTAATTGGTCACAGGATTTCATTATGATCTGATATCAGTTAGAGAACCATTGGAAAAACTGGGAGTACTGGACAGCTGTTTCCGTTGTCCCAGTTTGTGATTCTTCAGCAGTACGCACCCAATGGGGTTCCAACCCAGGACCTTTCAGTTACAAGGCGAGCTCGCAGACCATTAAGCCATTGGGACCCGATCCAATGGCCAATGGATTCTAACTTCTACTAATTCACGACATGTGAGGAGGAAACAAATCTTACGAACAGTCTTAGAGGCAGCTAGAAGCTATGAAATAGGATCAAGTGGAATAAAAATGATCCACTAAGACTTTATATTCTAACCCGAACGTAAGAAACGAGTAATAATAATAATAACTGAGTGAACACAACTACACTAGCATAAAAGTCTTTCTCTAGCGTGTAATAAACTCTCCTAATCTAGAGCTATCTAAAGCTAAAATATACAAGAAATATTCAACAGAAAGCCATCACGGCTAACTGATGGCTGCATTCGGAATTCGGAAAAACTGTGCACCTCGAACTATCGCAGTCACTGACCACTGGAGATCGTAATTAGACAAACCGATATTGATAGATTCAGGCCGTTTCACTGACGTTTCTCTAGCGTTACCTGTTAACTAAGATTCAATAATTATGTAGTATGATAAAATTTCATACTTTACTTACCCCTTCTGGAAGAAGATCACAATTCATTCTTTCTGGCCATCCAAATCCATAAGTTCGCATAACTGGCATACAGCCATCACGAGCACTTTCACATAGCGACTTGCATGCAGTTAGTCGATAATGCCAATTTGGTAAACAAATCGGTGTATACATACTGCATAGAAATAATCGTAAGTCTTCAGAACAATTGATTTCAACCAGTGGATAGAATTGATGAACCTTGGGATACAAAAACAAGACAGAAAAACAGAGTGGAGAGGAAGAGAATTACGTAAAAACTTGTTGGAAGCAAATTTGAAAATACACAGATTACTGAACATGGAATAGTCTTCTCGATAACTTCTTCAGGATATATATATATCCATGTAAGTTAAAAAGAATACATCAGGGAATATCAACTGTACAAAGATTTGTCCTGTGTAAAACGAATCAGATGCTCTCTAGAATTCAGATCAAAGTAAATACGCATAGGATAGTATGCTGTGTACGCGATTATACTATTAAAATAGAATAATTCACAGAGCTTGTGCTCACAGTGAATGAAAACTGTTAGGCTCCAACCACCTAATGTTCATTCAAAGAGAGAACTTCAATGAGGAATCTACCAGAATGATGACCATAGTGCAAAATGACTTACAGAAGAATCCAGTCAACACCAACATTGAGGACTAGGTAAATGATACTGATTACCTTCTCTCCATCCCTCCAACCTTAGTGGCCGATCAATAGAAAAGGTATTCACTGTAACTCATGGCAAAAAGTAAGTTTAGAAGTAGTGAATCTAGTGGGATAAAGGCAGAAATTATGTCTTCTTCACGTTCATTGATGAAACCGAAATCGAGCAATGGATCACTTATACCAGTTATTTCTTTCTCTACCTATCAGTGTAACTGCAGTTGTGGGATTGATTTCTTTGGTGCCGCGAATAACTCCAGCCAGAGTGATCAAATAAACTGTAAAATACACTCCACGAGGTGAGGAATCATCTTAGTTCACAGTTGGAAATCAAAATATTTTTAGATCACAACATGTGTGAACTTAAATGGTAGTCAAGAAATCAAGCGAAATAGAGTGATGGTATATACTATTGATTGATTAATATGAGTAGTTAGAAACCACTCTTGGCATATAGCAGTGCTTACTAGTCAGTCTGAAGTGTTATAAAAACACCGGATGTCAGTTTCATCTATCTGGAGCAGCGCTCATTAAAGGTGCCTGAAGTTTAATTCGGCTTGGAGAGCCGAATCAGCTGAAGCCACCTGAGTTAAAAGTAGCCACTTGACTGAATCGGTAATGCATGGAGACAGATTCACAGTCTGTAAACGATACACTTTGCAGGGGGAAATTATCATGATTTCCTTTGTCCAGCAAGCACTATTGTCTCATGAGAGTGATTTCCCACTACTGATATCGAACAGTAGTATATTATTCAGACCAGCTCAGTTCAGAGAGATCACGTATTAAGTATAGGTTACTCACCATCCATTGTTCATTGCACTCTAACCAGCTTATCGAAAGCAAATGGACTTTGTATTCAGCAAACAGCAGAAGTGATAGCAATTTGAATCTTGTACGAAATAAAAAGATTCAAATTATGCAGCCAGAAGATACACGCACACACAGTGTCCGTACATGAACTTATTATCTACATAATACAAATATGTGATTGTAGAAATGTTTTGAGAAAAATGTCGATAATAATATACGCAATCATATACTGGTAAATTAAACTGCTGTACTTTTGTGCAGATTTCTGCGTTGATAATTTAGTTCTATTTACTTATAATGGTTGCGATGTCAAGTACAGAGAACAAAATATACATTTGGAATGAGGTGCGATATCATTCCTTTGTAGGACTTTGAGATGTTTGCGAATATATGGTAAACTCAAATTAATGAGGTCAATGCATTGAGCATAGCCGTGTTAAAATGAACATTATAACTATATTTTTATTTACTAGCCCATTGAAGAAAAATGTAGTATAGTAATCCGTTAATAATGTGTCAACAGTGGTACAGTACAAATGAGGCCGATAAAAGCAGGGTTGGAAAAGCAAGATAGATTTTCATTACTATTCTGAAATCGGCGTGAAAATCTGTCTCACTTAGCATAAGGAACAAGGAACTTCAGCAATAATGTCAAATCAATCAGTGCTTCTACATGGTTCAGAGACCTGGTGAATGCGTCATGAGAATCGTTTCTAGTAGAATGGTACAGACTTTCATCAACAGCTGCCTTCACTGGCCGACAAAGAACAACAGGGAGCTCTATAATTAATGAACCAACAACTTGTCACCAAGCAGATATGCCCAAGGAAATGGAGATAGATTAGTCATACGCTTAGGGGATGGCCAAATGGCATTATACACCAGGTCATTGCTCGAGTGGAGCCCAAGTGGAAAATAATAGATTGGATGTGTTTCCGTGGGTGGCATGGAAGAGATTGTGTGAGCTGATGGTGATGAACTATTGACAATCGTGGAACCAGTTGAAAAGGACTGCAAAGAACAGGTTAACATGGATACATATGTTCCTACGTGTCATTGGGAACGCAGGTGGTCGACAATCTTATTCAAACAACACGTACGTATGAAGTTGTCTTCTATATTTATGCAACACATTCCACTGGAAATTAAATTTCTGGTTCCCGTCTGGATGGCGAAAAACACCGGTTACCCTCGGAAATTTATCACTAAGTGCGGAAGATGTGAAGGCTTAGACGTCAAACAAATCACAGTGAAAAAGAAGCTTATCTTCATTCAACTCAACTTTTAAGATGATAATATTGCAGAAACAGTCAACAAAGGCTTGAATACCTCACCAGGCAGAGCCTACCTACAGCTAAGTTGGTTCCCGTCTATCAGACAACGTCTTTTTTTAGTGCAATCAGAGGTTGACAGGTACCCTTCTCATGTTAACTCTAAGTGTATACACAAATTTACGTGTACCTGTGGTGGCAGTTACGTTGGGAGAAGGGCATACCTTCGATTTTCTGAACACGTACCAAAATGCCTACGTCTCATAGGAACAAATGCTTTCAACATTGACATCGCGAGGCATCTTCCTGACACGGATCATGAGGTGGACGTCACAAGATCGTTCAACATTATCAACTGGCAAAAGAGTTCAATCCTCCTCAAATTCGCCGAAGTGATCTACATCAAGCGGCTGAAACGTGACTTATGCGTTCAGAGAGAAGCAAATATCAGTCTTTCCTTGCCCTGATAACTAGATGTCTTCATTTTCTCTTCCATTTGACTAAGATTTCTCCGGTGTAAACCTTTCCCTCCTTTGTTATAGTGTAGGCTTACCTGTCTCTTGTTTCCATGATTTGAATTGAACTGACTATATTTTTACTCTAATCTATTAGTTTCTCATCCTTCTATTCACCACTTGTCTTTACTACCTAAGCATCTATTTTTGTGTAAACTCAAAATTTCCGAGGACTACATAGTGAACTTATACAATACTTGAAAGTTTGTTAGAACTGTTCAGTACGTACGTAAACTTAATCATTTCTTTAGGCTGTACACGGCTGATTAGAAGTCGATGGAATTAAGGATGTTACCACCTTATTCTGCTCTTCTTCTTGCTTTGTTCAAATTCATAAAAGGGGAATAGGTGTATGAACAAAAAATACTCCCAGATAAGTTTAGTCCATATGTAATTAGTTAGCCTATTTTTTTCATGTGTATACTAAAACCAGCCTACTTACATATGTTTATTTACACAAACCAAAGACCAGAAAGTTTATCCCCAGAAATATTTGTATGCATGTGTGCGTATGTGTGTGTGTAGAGATGTGTAAGTTCGCCTTATATAGTTAGTTAGCGTGGGTATATCTAGATGTTGTCTGAATGTGGTTTAATCTCGTTGTTGTTTTTTCTTTTCCTCGAAAGACAACATCCTTTCTGGGTTTTTATTCCATGTTAGGATGGTTTGTATTCTTCCTTGATACCTTTAGGGCCTAAAATGAAAACAGGTGGTGTTCACATGCGCGCCCGCGCGCGCACTCACACACAGACACACTGATATTACCGATCCTGACGATATAACGCTGCTGGTGACGAAGAGTGGTGGTGCTGGTTCGGGGGGGGGAAGGGACGTAGAAAGGGTTGTGACTCTTACATTCTTCAACTGCTACTGTACACTTGTTCTTCTTCCACCACCTCTGATTATAACTGAAATCAGAATACAGTGAGCGAGGGAGCGAGGGAGCGATGGAGAGAGAGAGTGGAAAAAACTTGACGGGAAACAGATGAAAATAGTTTTGTTAAAAATTGTGACTTTCTTTTGTACATCTTTGTTTACTTGTTTGTTCAGAAATATTTTAATTATTAATAGAAAAAAGGTTTAATTTCTTTCTAATTGGGAGAGATTTTTGTATCGAGTGTTTTTTGGTTTAAATCAATCAGTCATATAGAAATGAACAGTTAGGAAGACTTATTTCCTAATTGGTGTCATACAACATACTTGCTGAAAGGTTCGGTACAATACAGTTTCCTTTGCATTAGATGTCCATAAAAAGCTGTCTACTGTGGTATTGTTGAAAGAATCAGGAGTCAGTCGGCTAGATTCAATAGGATCTTGACAGTCGTTCCCAATGGATATTATTAGCCAGCTGTTTTAACAGCACACATCTGATAGATGAATTTTAATCAATACTACAACATAGTTCACCTTTGATGACTGCGTCTTTTTCCTAATTCCGTCTCACAATAGTGACATGAAGTCTTGATCTGAACAGTAAAGATGACGAGGTCTCCTGAATCCAGTATTCGTTGAGAAAGATTAGATCCAAAAGGGGGACATTAGTTACCCGAATCTCTGAAACCACCTCTTTTTCCTCTCGCATACTGAGATGGGTCAAGGGCAGAAAAATTCACAATAATTCTTTGAATTCCTTTAACACAACGATAAACTATTAAATTAAAAACTTAAAAATCTTTTGCCCAAAACAATCCTTGCTTAGTTTAGTCAATATATGTCAACATTATACGGCTAGAAAGGCTGTTTTGATTTTCTTGGGTTCCATTTTTAAAATAAGGCTTTAAGCTTGAGCTGTGGAGTTATGTTTAAGAAGTGGGGTTGCCAGCCTCAAACCTAACCTTCCGTCTTTACCTGGCTTACCACTTGTTAGGCAAGTTAGTCTACCGGGGATCGAACCGCAACCAGTGAATCACCATCTCATCGCTAGAAAGAATAGCTTTCCATTTTTTA